GGGAAAGTCTCCGTATGAACTTTTTTTTGGATACGTTCCAAGAGGAGTAGCAACCGCATTTCTTGATAATGAAATCACTTTAGAGCCACCGAAAGAAGATGACCTAAGAGAAACTCGAAGACGAGTTAAGGAAAGGTTAGATAAGAATCAAGTAGCTCAAAAATCAAGGTTTGATGCGCATCGTAAAGCTGGACGCAGCTTTAAGGTAGGGGACCAAGTCCTAGTACGGACTGAATCAAGTAAGAACGATGGGAAAAGCAAAAAGTTGCTTCCCAAATTTAGTGGTCCATACGTTATTAGAAAAGTTCTAGATCATGATCGGTTTGTAATTATAGACCCTGAGGGATCCTTGCGATCTCAGAAAAAGTACGTTGGGGTTGTTTCATTAGATAAGATTAAGGCCTATGAAGTTGCTGTTAGTTCAGAATCCGACGAGGAAAACTAAACTAATTAGCAGCGAAGAGAGCTCTCACATAAAAAAAAGTAAAGACAAGAAGGTAGGTGAGTAACTTTCACTACGAATTCGAACGTTCTCACTACAAAAAAAAATCGTAAAAGCAGTTGGTTCAACTACGATGTTGACTATAAGTCTTGGTTTGTATTAATAAGTTACTAACCCAATTAAGTTTCTTTAGTCTTTTTTTCTGGCCATATTACTTGTATGATATTTATTACAGTTTGCTTTAGATGAAGCCGGAGGATGCAGGAGATGCTCGTGTATATTTCTTAGTGTATATTTCTAATCAATGATACCTAAAAATTGAAATTATCCCAGCTTAAACGAAACTGTTTTCTGTCACAGGATCATCCAACAAGACGGGTTATTCGCGAGGACGCGAATGACAGTAGCATGGCCGACTGTTAACATTTCGTACCCTGCGTCACATGAAATCGCACGGCTATGCGGGTCGTTCGAAGAAAATCAATTAGTCAACCAGGCCAGTTATCGAAGTGATGAATCAACCAAAATTCAGAGAGGGTTTTTATGATAAGATTTTGGGACAAAGGATTATTATTTTGAGTTTCGTCTTGCGAATAAAACGCTTGTATTTATTTCTTAGTTTATTATTTAAAAATACCCGGTTCTCAATTGCATTTTAACAATTACTTGAACTGTGTCGTTTGCTAATTATTTCTTCTTCATTTTTTTTCTACAATTAATATTATGCATTCAAGTCTTTAAAATATCATCGTATGTATCCAATGTTTAGTTCTCTACCAGCTTCGTAATGAGAACATCATATAGTTATAAACAATTAACGATTAAAAGGCATATTTTAAAAATTTGGCGATAGTTGCTAATATGTACTTAATATTCTATCTATGCGGTGATGGAGAGAACAAAAACTTAATGCATATTTTTTTATCGATAATAGTAGTTTATGCAACAAGAGTGGATATGATGGCCAGACCGCACGAAAACGAAATTAGAGCACGACGCCGTAGGCGGAGTGCTCAATCTTTTTATATTTTCAAAAGAGTTTTGTGTAAACAAAGTTAAAATTGTCCTACGTATTTTTAATCATTAAATGTCGCTAATTTTTGTTGTTAATAGTACCTACCTATGTACGCCTAGTATGTATAGGTATTAAATATGTTTGTTCTAGTCCCGTGACGGATGATGTAGCTTTAAAGACTACAAAACCGGTCTCAATTAAAAGATTTGAGACGAGAATTATTTCTTTTTTCCTACGGTAAGTTATTTTAATTGGATTTCCACACATTAGTCACTAAAGAACCCTTATATTTTAATTTATTTACATCATAGTTAACTGCCTACTGTAATAATTACGTATCAATTATATCTAAATATAAATTTCCAATCTTGATTAATGTTTTGCAATTAGTTTGATAAGGAAATAAATTAGCAATATAAAAATTACTTCAGTTTGAAAAATACCCGTACTTATGTTTTTTAAATGTTTTTTTCTTTCTTGTTTTGAAGTTTGTTTTATTACTAACCACACGTTTTTACAAATTTTATTATTAATACTTTTATCAATTGTTTTTGTCATTTCATTTATTTATTAACCATATTTTGATTTGACCTTATTTATATTTATTTGTTGTATAATGTATAAAAAAACCACCACTTAAAACATGCTTTTTATTTTCCTATCTGTATACAGATAAGGAAAGTATAGACATCATGATTTTTTCGACGTATTTTTACGTTTTGGGGTCCCCTGAATCCGTTTTGACTATTTTCGCGATGATGTCTGTGTGTCTGTATCCACGATAACTCATGAACGGATACAAAGAAAACCTCCAAAATTTAAACTTAAGCTTTATTCCGGCTTGCTGTGAACAGAGTCGAAAACATCGGGGGGGGGGGGGGGTACTTTATAGGGGGTCATTTTTATATTTTATGAAATATATCTGTTATTTACGTTTGGAGAAGAAAATTCTTCAAATAAAAGTTGTTATATTAATATCTATAATGGTCCGTATTCGAGAAATTTGACAAAATGTAAAAAAAATCAAATTTTTATAAAATTTGTTCAAATAAAAGTTTTTTGTGATATAATTCTCTATACTTTTTGTCCCATACATAATTTCTCTAAAATTGACCGTATTCGACATATTTGTGAAAAAGTGTAAATTTTGAAGAAAACTCAAAAACGGATAAAAGAAAAACCTTAAATTTTAAACTTATGCTTTATTTAAACCTGAGGTGAACCGATTAGATTTTGGGCAGAGTCGGAACATCTGGGGGTAATTATGGCGTTTATGAATAATCCAAGAGCCGTAAAACGTTACAGAAGACGCGTAGAAACATCACCGAATGATATTCGATACCTTTTTCGTTTCAACGAAGCAAACGTGTTTTGGTTAGCCAACCATTTCTTTGGTGAGGAGAATAATGAGACACGAGGTGGTGCATTATCACCGTTTTTGCGTTACATCGCTAATCCAGGTTACCGAAACAGCGTGGGGGAAACAATTGGAATTCAGCAAAGTACTGTGTCAAAAACAATTGCTGAAGTAACGGACAAAATCTGGCAGACAGCAAATCTATGGATAAAGTTTCCATCATCCAATGAGGAAATACGTGAAGCCCAGCGTCTTTGGCAGCAAGTTTATGCGTTTCCAGCCGCAGTTGGAGTTCTGAATTGCACACATGTCCGCATTCGAACGCCTTCCCAATTTGGAGATGAATTTATAAACCGAAAAGGTTTTGCTAGCATCAATGTACAAGCAACGTGCGATGCGCAGGAGATATTTACAAGTGTACACGTACAATGGCCCGGTTCTATCAATGACAGTAGAATCTGGAAATCGTCTGCTATTTGTGCCTTTATGCGTCGCAATACACAACGAGCTTTGCTCCTGGCAGATGAAGGGTATGGAATAGAGCACTGTTTAATGAGTCCTTATCGAACCGTGAATACACCACAAGAAAGCCGGTACAATAATTTGTTGAAGAAAGAAAGGGGGTGCATTAAATGTTGCTTTGGACAGTTGAAGCAAAGATTTTCCATATTGCAGTATAAAGTTCGAGTGAAGCTTGAAAATATCCAAAATTGGTCACAGATAATACAAAATATAAAGTTTTTTTTAAGAGTCCTTGTTTTACTTGAAGAAAATAAAATCTATATGAGCAAAAGGCATCAATGGAATTCACGGACATCGCAGCAGGCAGTATCGGCCAACCAAGGCAGTAGCGCCCTTGAACTATAGCGATAACGGCCATTGGGCAGTATCGGTCCACCGATGAAGTATCGACCTTGAACTATGGCGTTAACGGCCAAAAGAAAATAAACATGTAATCCATATTAGTAAAAGGCAGTCTTGGCCTTATCGTCAATGGCAGTCACAGCCATCATATCGGCAGTATCGGCCCACAAAGGTAGTATCGGCCTTGAACTATGGCGGTGAAGGCCATCGCATCGGGCAGTATCGGCCCACCAAGGCGGTATCGGTCTTGAAATATGGCAGTAACGGTTATCGCGTCGCGCAGTATCGGCATATCAAGGCGGTATCTGCCTTGAGATATGGCAGTAACGGCCATTGTATCGGGCAGTATCGACCCACAAAGGCAGTATCGGCCTTAAGATATAGCGATAACAGTCATCGCGTCGGGCAGTATCGGCCCATCAAGGCGGTATCTGCCTTGAAATATGGAACAAACGGGCAGTGTCGGCCCACCGAGGCAGTATCGGCCTCAAATTTTGGAACAAACGGGCAGTGTCGGCCCACCGAGGCAGTATCGGCCTCAAACTATGTAACAAACGGGCAGTGTCGGCCTGATAAGTTACTCATCTGGCGAGTTTGTCAGCTGCATCCAACATGCGCAAATCTTCGACTTCGTAATGCTTCGTATCGATCATTGTATAGCACTTTTGTTATTCGAAATGGTCCTTTGAACGTTGCTAGTAATTTCTTGCTAGCCCCGGTACACGCCTCACTCATAAATCAGTTCTAAAACCAATTGCGCTTTGTCCATATTTCTCGTACATCGAGTGCCCGGACGCTTTTTTCACAATAATACTAGTATTTTCCATTTATTATTGTTTTAAGCTTATTTGAAAAATTATTTTTAACTTTTTAGTTTAATATGCTCTAAAAGCGTGTTTTTTAGTTTTTTTTTAAACTATATTTATTATTTATGAGACCCATTGTCTACTGTCCTCTCTGTACTACTCTGAGATAGTGTCATATTTGCGAAGAAGTAGACAGTTTGAAATTATCAGTATAGGTTATCAGAGTAGAGCAAATATTAAACAATGTAAATTATGAAATTGATGAAACAATGATTGATTATTTATCTTTTTCGTATTTGGTAATTCGACTTATAATTAAGAAAGGTGCTTTTTTTTAAATTAAATATAAGTTAAATATAATATTTATTTACTAGACTATGACATGAATCCCTATACAAACAGTGGGAGGGATTATCGTATTATCAAATGGGAATAAATACGGCTTCAAAACAAATATATGATAAACTTGCGTGTGATTTTTTCTGTGTACGGTAAGCCTCAGTTTTTCTCTGAAAAATGGCTGAAAATAAGTGTGCTAAAAATAAAAATATCGGTCGCAGACAAAGTATTCCTTTTATTTATACGAGAGGGACACACTATGAAGTTGGATTTGACATTGTAAGTAAAGATAATAATTGTTCGTTCAAATAAACAAATTTATCTAATGCGCCTTAATTTTGTTGTTTCCTTATTTTTAAATTTATTTTCTATGTTTTATTGATAGTGTCGAAATCTGAAATTTGTAGTAAGCGGAAGTTTAATTTTAATGGATCATTAATGATTTTTTATTATGTGATCAATTATATACCTAGTGAAAGATTTATGAGATTGAATTCGATTATCAGGTAATTTAGAATAAGGATAATTTCTTGACCGTAGTAGAATTTTATATAAATAAAAAGTTCCTAGGTTTATTCGGTCAATAGTTTTTATTTTTTATATGGAGGACGAATACAAACAGTTTAAAATTTATGAAATAATAGAAACCCCATCTTGCTGTTCCATAGCGTGTAAAGGTGTATTCGAAAACAGGTAATTTAGGTAGTTTTTAGTTGGTTAGTTAGCCCGACGAGAGGGGGACAGGGGAGCAAAATCCCTGGGACCCGGGCACGAGGGGGGCTGAGACCTTTTTTTTAGAAGTCGCCACAACAGGGAGGACCTGGGTTACGAAAAATACAAGCTGAAGAACTCTTTTTTTTTAAATTTAACACAGAAAGGACTTCATTTTTTATAAAAATGCCTCGCTATTTTCCGCAAATCTGCCAACCCTAGTTAGTGTTTTTTTATAATTTTTTTAAATATTACAAATTTATAATGTATTAATTTTGACCTATAATGAACCCTTATTCCCTTTTAAATTATACTAATAATTTCCATTCAACGATTGGTACTTTTACTGTGCGAAAAACTTGATTCATAGCCACAAAATTCAAACAAAATCACACAACAAAAAAACCCCGCACATGTGAAAATGGCTTTCAGCCAATTTTGATAATTATTTGGAACGTTTTAATACAAGTCACTAAAAGTTAACATGTGCAAGTTTAAATCAGTTTATATGTCTAGTTTCGGAGACATGAATTTTTAAATATAAAAGTAACTGTTTTTTTAAATCTTGTCAAAAAGTATTTACTTTTTTAAATGATTAGATACAAAATAATAGCATTGCTTGTTTAGAGGAAGTTAGATGATAATATGTCAGTCAGTCGTTAAGACAAAAGAAGCCGCCTATTATACAGGATGGGTCAAAAATAGCGACAATTTAGCATTTTTTCAACAATTTTTATCATTGGTCCAAATTAGTGGAACTGAACATTTTTTTATTAAAATATTAATAATTTTCTTTAAATCTTTTAACTACAGAGTACATACAATCAAATTCATGTGGAAGGGGAAAGCACGCGCTGCTACTCTGGCACACCGGTAAACACGTCTTCGCTAGGAGAAACCAGGATCGCATTTAAAAATTGTAGTTACCATTGATAAGATCCGTTCTTAAAATAATTGAAATGAATTAAATAAGTAAATAAATTATGTTTTTTTTTATAAATACCGCTCTTAATCACAAATTAAAAAAGGAAAATAAAACAAAAATACGAAGTTTAAAAAAATATTTTTAAGAATTTTTCCAAATTAATAATTTATCTTTATTATCATTTACTTTTTATTGCTATTAATGAATTGTAACGATGGTTTAATTTATTTAAAACACACTAGTTACAATTTATTTAAGACGTACTAATTAATTTATATAATACTTAGGCACTAACTCACAATTCTAATTTATTTATTAGAATTTTACTTTTCAGTCCAATACTTTATACTAAACTAAACTGTCCGCCGATAAGTAGGGCTATTTATACCAAGTCCAACTCTGCTACGAGAAGGCTCTAGACGATCCTGAAAATTCACAAATCAAATAAGAAAAATAAAACAAAAATACGAAGATTAAAAAATTAACTTTTTATTTCTATTAATGTATTTTAATGTATACCTACTCAACAATGGAGGTGCTATTGGTTTTACAGATACCTTGATTCTAATGTCTTGTAAAATCTTTATTTTTGTATCGTACTCCAATGGTACGTTTGTGCTTGATGGAATAGAATTTTTTAATTGATCCAAGCATTAATTGCTAATAACAAAAAAAATGGGTATTTTAACAGTTATTATCCCGTCCACTTTATTTTCTTAACCTTTGTTATTTCGAAAACAATATTTTTATAAGAAAGTGATTTACTTTGATTATTTCCCTTGTTTTAAATTAACCAATAAAATGTCACAATTTTTAAAATTCAGACCAATCGGATTCAGTTATCAGCGACTATTTCTCTAGACCAAATATCAGCGACTATTTCCCTAAAGAAATAGTCAATGATACGTCACATAAAAATGTCAAATGCTTCTGTCAGTTTTTGTTCACGCAGTTCTGTCGCAATTTAATAAATAATAATAAAATGGAAAGATTCGGTGTTTTTGATAATTCTATAAAAAAGATGTTTAGAATATTTTATGCTGACCTGGGATCTGTTATCAATATTATTAAAACTTATGTAGTTTTTGATTTATTTCATAAAAACTAAAAATGAACGATTTTTGAATTTCGAACACACTGTATATTATCTACATTGTAATTCACCTAATCACAATGACAAAACAAAAAACATTTTGAACTGGAAATCAAGGACATCCAATGAAATACAGTGAAAGAACGTATGTTTGATGAAAAAATAAAAAAAATACATTTGCTTTCTAGTTTGAAACAGTAAAAAAAATGCATGTAGGTATGTATCGTTTACTTATTACAATAAAAAAAAATGTAAATTATAGTATAACAATGTCGCGTGTAATTATATCACCATTGAACTTTTCCGTTTTTTTATAGAATTTTTTGTTTTCATATTAAACATAATAATTCTGCCTGTACACTATTTGCATGAAAATAGTAGTTTGTGCAACAAGAGTGGTTATGATGGCCATATCACACGAAGACGAAATTTGAGCACGACGCCGTAGGCGGAGTGCTCAATCGTCTGAGTACCAAAACTAAAAAATATACTGACAATTAGTTTGACAGAATTGTCACTTATTTAAAATTTTAAAAATAATAGCAATCGGTTGATCAAAATTTGAACGGTGATTGGTGAATTTAATTTTTTTACAGTGTTTTAACTACCTAGAATGAATATGAAATATATTCGTTCAGTTGAAGGCAATAGCATACTTTTTCGTTTTGTAATCTGTGCGTAGATAAGTTCTTTTATAGTTTATCTGAAGTCAGCTAATAATATATCAAATATATTAAAAGGACAGAGGAGATAATATAGGTATATGATTTACAATTTTATTAAAATATTTCAAACATGCCTGGGTTAGTTCGGATCATTTTTTTTTTTAATTTCAGTTTTACATTTATTTAATTTAGTTGTTTCTTTCATTATTAAAGGGAGAAGATTAAACAGTTTGGGGCCAAAATAGAAGAATGTGTTACCGTTTTCTAAAAAAAGACTGCGTTCAAATGTAAATTTGTATTTACCCTAGTTTTTGATGAAACCTTATCTCTGTGTACCCTTAGGTATATAATCGTTTTAAAGTAAATTTTTTTAATCCTTGATATAGTAGTTGAGTCGAATATAATCTATCCTTTTTAAATAATATTTTAGGGTATTTCGTATAAATATACGTATAATGGAGGCTATAATAATTAAATTGACAAGTATTAAAAATTTTAAGAAACCGATTTCAAAAACGTGCAGATGCCATCACCACATTTTAACCAAATATATATGGGATCACCCCTGAGGCACCCCCTTACTAACAAAAAAAGAATCATTTAAATCGGACAAGGTGGTAAAGCATTATCGCTAAACATACATAAAAAATGAAGAATTTGAGGATGGACCCAATTATTAGATTTCGACCAAATTTATATGGGACCACCCCTGGGGTACCCCCTTTCCAACAAAAAAAGAATCGCTGAAATCGGACGCCGTGTTAAAGAATTATCGCTGAACATACATAAAAAAATACGTGTGGCACTCGGGGACTGCCGCGGTAAAGCTATTATAGCATTTTTTATCAACTTATGTATGCAATTATAATTATTTATTTATTTTATTTATGCAGTATTTTTTTCTTTGATATTATTTCAAGTTTTTTCTTTGATATTAATTGAAGTTACACTTTTTGAGTGTGGTGACCGATAAGAAAACAAATTTTTTCTTTTATTGAATAAATGAGAAGTTAATATTGTTTAAAATATTTTTATTATCTTACAATACATGTAGGTTATTCACGATTTTTTATCATTGAAACGATAGGTTTATGGTAACTAAAATAAGAAAATAAGTTTGAGACTTGATATCCTCTAAATATCTGGAAAGTACCGCGTCAATGGTGGTCCCATATTTTGTTGTGGATTCTTGTGGATCATTATTCATTTTCAAATTCAATTTTTCCGAAATTGTGTCTAAAAGAGATAGAATCAGTTATGAGCAGTTAGCAGCTAGTCTACACGCATACGTCTAGTCGCACGCACACAAACACCGTGCTAAAGTCTGCCGAACTGAAACGACGTTAGACGATGCACGGCTTTTAACGCCGCACCGCTGTGCCGGTCGGAGTGGGAGGTGTTAGGTTTATTTTCGATTTTACGATTTTTCGATTTTACAATTTTCGATTTTTAGATTTTTCGATTTTTCGGTTTTTTGATTTTTCGATTTTTCCATTTTTCGGTTTTTTGATGTTTCGATTTTTCGATTTTTTGATTTTTCGATTTTTCGATTTTTCAATTTTTCAATTTTTCGATTTTCTTTTATTGAATAATTGAAAAGTTTATATTGTTTAAAATATTTTTGTTATCTTACAATACCGCACCGCTGTGTGTCGGTCGGAGTGTTAAGTTTATTTTCGTTACGGAATTTCTTGATTCGGTCGCCGCGCTCAAAGCCCGCGATAAAAGCTATGCAATAGCTTAAATAAAAAAAATATTGCGACGAATTGAGAACCTCCTCCTTTTTTGAAGTCCGTTAAAAAAGGCAAAGATTTGTTAGTGATCGATGGGTTTAAATTTTCATTCCACAAGTTATTAGCAAAAGACACTTTAAATAGATGGTTTT